GGTCATGATTCTTTCATCCACTTATTTAACCAGCATTATTGAATTATAGTTGCTGCACAATAAACTGCACGTTTAAAGTGTACGATTCGTCTACTTTTAATATATTTAAATTTTCTATAGAAGTTTGAAGACAAAGTCTTTAGAATTGTGATCAGTCTGGCTTTTCTAAAAGGGCAGACCTGAATCCATTCAGAACATAATGAAATAAGCATATGATCATCATATCCTTTTGTCCTGGAAATGTGAAAGAAATCTACTTATAAGTCTAAGAAGAGATTTAAGGGTCAGGTCCCATGCTGTAACATCACTGAGCTTTATATAAAATACTGATATTTGGCAACTTTGCTAAACTCAGGAATTCCAGTAATTCCACTGTAGATTATCCATAGTCCCAGGGGTCAGCAAACCAGGGCCTATATGTTTAATCCAACCCATAGCCTGTTTTTTGCAGGGTCAACAAGCTAAGAGTAGATCTTGAATTTTTGTAATTGGCTGTAAAAATATATATAATACACGTATTCTGTAGAAACAGTATGTGGACTGAAGATACTTATTAGCTGGCCCTTTACAGAAAAGGTTTGCTGACCCTGGCTTACATAAACAATGCTGTCATCTGCAAATAGTGCCCTTTTCTTGCATTCTAAATGTGCATGTTTTATTCCCTTGCTTTCCCACATTGGCTAAAGCCTCTAGTATAATGCTGAGAAATGGTGGTAGCTGGATTTTTTATTGTTCTCCCCTATTAGAGAAGAAGCTTTTAACATTTTTTTTTTAAGATTTTATTTATTTATTTGACAGAGAGAGACGCAGCAAGAGAGGGAACACAAGCAGGGGGAGTGGGAGAGGAAGTAGTATGGAAAAGTGCAACAAGGTGAAGACAATTCTTTTTTTTTTTTTTTAAGATTTTATTTATTTATTTGACAGACGCAGCAAGAGGGGGAACACAAGCAGGAGGAGTAGGGGAGGGAGAAGCAGGCCTCCCGCGAAGCAGGGAGCCTGATGCGGGTCTCGATCCCAGGACCCTGGGATCATGACCCGAGCAGAAGGCAGACGCTCAAAGACTGAGCCCCCCAGGCGCCCCATGAAATCGTGTTTTGATCAGTAGTTGCACTGAGGCTGTCTTATTTCCAAAATATTGTTGGTAGGTGAGGTGTTCTCAAATCCTTACTGTGGGCTCTGTATGAGCTTTTGCTACGCCAGATGGTTTGTTTACTAAGGCACTGGTATAAGATCATTGCATCCTCAGGTGAAATGGCTGGACTCTTGGGCAGCATTTATAGGATATCTCCAGGGTGGGATTATATTCTAAACAGAAATGTTCTGTGGTTGAAACAATATATACACACCCTTTGTAAATTCTCCCTGATAATGCCGCCTTGCAATTCATATTATTCAGCTGTGCTTGATTTTAAGATACTTAAGGGGTAAATGTCACCTTTTGGGATTTTATTAATAGTATTACTTTTTAATGAGTCTTTTGAAGTCTCTTTCATGATAAACAGCCGGTTTTCCCTTGAGATAATAACTTGTAGTGCCAAATATTTGCATTTCACTTGAAACGAAACTAAGGCTTTGAATGTTTTAAATATAAGCAAATCTAATTCTCCTGTGTCTAGAGAAACTGCATAATGAACCATATGTATGTGGCTTAAGTGGACAGATGTGGAAGTTTTCTCTCTCATTTTTTCTTAAAAACACTGGCAGAACTTAAAATTGGCACCAACTAGCAAATAGTTCTACCCAGTTGATGAAACCACTGGAACTGTAGTTGAAGTGGAAGAGTCCTCTTAGGGTGCATGCGCAGTTGGGGCTTTTCCTGGCTCTGGCTTCACCTTGGAGGCCCGAGGCTCCATAGTTCATCCACCCACATTTCTCAGTGCCTTCAGTTTTTGCAGTTGGGTATTCTCTCTCTGGTGGCTGACTTTTCAGATCTTTGTAAGTTGGGCCAGTTGTTTCAGTTGACTTTGGGTTCATTTGGAGAAGATGTTCCATGCATCTGGGTCCTGCAGCAAGATGGCCCTCTAGCTGCTGACAGAGAGGTCCTTAGCTGCCATCCCACTGCTGGAATGGGCCTTCCTCTGGTCCTGGCCATGTGGCTTTTTTCTCCCTGTCTCTTCTCATCCCCTCCCTAACTCTGGGCCATCTTGACCTCTGGCCAGGGTTGCTCATATGGTCTTAACTTGTCCTCCTACCTTTAGTCTTTCCCCTTCCATTCTCATCACTGAAGTGTTCTTTCTGTAACTGACATCTGATAATATCATTGTTCTGTTTAATACTTATCTGTGGCTCCCTATTGTCTTCTAGATACAGTCTGTATCTCTTAACTTGGTGTACCTGGGCCTTCATGATCTGGGCCCTGATTGCTGTCTGGACTATCTTCAGGCAGCTCCACTAACATCCATGTTGTATTAGCAGCCTATTCTATCTACATGTAGTCCAACTGAGCTACTTTCAGAAGATGGCCATTTTCTCTCATTTTTGGGGGTTTTTGTAAATGCTGTTCCTTTTGTTTGTCTTGCTCTGCATGTTTTATGGCATTGCTTCTCAAACTTGAGTGTGCTTCACATCATCTAGAGGGCTTGTTAAACCACAGATTCCTGGGTCCCACTCCCAGACTTTGATTCCCCAGATGTAGGGTAGAGCCTGAGGTTCTGTGTTTCTAGGGAGTCTCCAGGTGATGCTGATTTGGGTGGTCTGGGGACTGTACTTTGAGTAGCAAAGCTCTAGAGTACCCTGTCTTGTCATAGCACTTCACTGTTTTGAGATTGCCTGTTTGTCTTTCTCTCTCATGAGACCCTAGGTTTCCTGGGAAAAAGAATCTGTTTGCCCATCAGTGTATCCCGAGTCACTATTGTCTGGGATATACTTGGTGTTCAGTGTCTGTTGAATGAATGAATGAGTGGATCACTCTTCATGCAGCAAAGTTCAAATCATTTTGCTTCTTGTAGATGAGCTTTATTTTGGACTATTTCAGCCTAAGGATATGTGGAATGTGATCTACTCCTTCTGTTTGCCCTCACCTGACACTGAAATACTCACTTAATGGATATGGAACTTGAGAACTCCCCATAGAGATCAGAGACTGGATGAACCACAGGAAGGTAGACATGGATTTCTTTTGATAGATCTGAAACTTTAAATGTGAAATAGACTCATAGGTTTTCTTTCATTCAGCACACAACACAGAGTAGTGTTTCTGCACCTCTTAATGTAAGACAAACACCTGAACTTACTAGAGCCCATCAATAAGTGGATCTCACACTACTTTTTAGTATCTGTGATGTACCTGCTAGGGACTATATGCGGAATAAAGGAATACATGATATGGTTCTGGTCCCCCAGGTTGAAACCTGAGTGATGATATTCAGGAGCACTTGAAATGTTCAAACTGTGTGATACTTATAAGAATTCATATTTTTTTTAAAGATTTTATTTATTTATTTGACAGAGAGAGACGCAGCGAGAGAGGGAACACAAGCAGGGGGAGTGGGAGAGGGAGAAGCAGGCTTCCCGCCGAGCAGGGAGCCCGATGTGGGGCTCGATCCCAGGGCCCTGGGCTCATGACCTGAGCCGAAGGCAGATGCTTAAAGACTGAGCCACCCAGGCCGCCCTGCTTTTTAAACATTTTATAATCATGATGTTTTAGGTATTTTTGTAGCCTTCCTTTATCAGAACACACAAAAATTCCATTCTTTTCTACTTTTTAGAAATTTTAATCATAAATTTGTGGGGGGGAAACAGACAATCCAGAAATCTAACTTGAAATGATCCCAGCAATTCATTGGCACAGAAGCAGGGCATTCGTAGAGTGGATTCTCTTAGGAAGTTCCTAAGACAACATCCTTGACAATTTCCTTATTCTAGTACCATTCCCGTATTTTTCACTTTTAGTCCATGTTACTGTTTTCTGTCACTCAGTAGCCTCTTCCTTTGCTACAGCTAAAATCTGTATAAGTAGATTCTTCAAAATTAAGAAGGACCCTTTCAAGCTCAGTTTCAAAAAGCATGTGACCAAAGTGTAGTATTGACAGATTTGCAGTAGAAAGAACAAGGGGGAAATCCATTTGTTTACAAATTTATTCACGTAAAGTTTGTTAAACAATTGAGACTTTTTGGAAGCCAACACAGCTACTTTTAAGTTTTCATATTACTCTTTGTAGATATTTAGATTAACCAGATAATCTTAAATAGGTTATTTTAGAAAGCTGCTGTAATATTAAATTATGTTTATCTAGGCATACAAGTCGTTTTTATGCACTACCTTCTCGATCTCACAAGTCTTTTATTGACAATACAGTTTCCAACACTGCTCAAAAGACACTAATGTTTCGAAAGGCATTCTGTTTAATTTAATCCCATTTTAGTATTCCTTTGAAAATTTTGACTGATGACTCTGGAAATTCAGCCAAGAGTGTTGTGTCAAAAACTTGCTTGAATTTATCTAAGAATTCGTAATCGGTGCTGAACCTGAATTTGTTTGCCCAAAGCAACACCGTCCCTGGCTGACAAAGGTACGCCATGGTGGTGAGCAGCTTGTCCAGGAAGTAGTGGTGGTAGACCACGTCCGAGGCCAGAACGTAGTCGTAATAAAACGTTGGCTTGGGGAAGTGTTGCTCCAGGCTCTCTCCCCAAACCAGCTCTCTCACTTCCGGCAAATGTGCTGCGTGTTTTAATGTGTTCTTCAAAAGATTGTATTGAAGGTTTCCTAGGACATCAGGCAAATCCGTTGCTGTGACTTGAGCTCCTAAGAGATAAAAGAGAAAAATTGTAACAATTACCTGGAAACATGCAGGCAGCCACAGTGGACATAGACACTCAGGGAGACGCAAGAAATGGAACTGGGCTTCTCAGCTTTGTCCACATTTGCACGTGGACTGGACATACTTGACCCAATCCCGCTGGATAATTTCCCATGGGGCGCTCTGGCCTGTGCCCTGTGCGCTGTTTCACAGCGTCCCAGGTCTCTACCCCCAGACTCCACCCCCAGCTCCTGGCGATCAAAAATGTCTCTAGAAGTGGCCAAATGTCCTTTATGGGGCAAAATCACCTTTGGTTGAGAACCACTGAAATAGAATAATGGTATCATTTTTTAAGAAATAGTTGTGTGGTGTTGGGAGATTTCAGGATAATTAGCTGCTTAATAAATCATGTTTTCCTTCTAAAACTCTTATCTGAAGATTTGATCTATTTTGTACAACTGCCTGCCTCCAACCTAAATTTTTAAATTAATCATTAGGCGTTTTAAAGCTAGTGACAAGAGTTCACAAAGTGGACCACCCCATTTCCAGACTGGATTTAATAGAAGAAGCTCTGTAACGGTGTAGTCAGAAGTACGCCACATCTGTACCCACCTCTTGCTCAGTGCCCGGAACGCACAACCTGCATTTGGTGTATAAACCTGTCTCCACCTTGGATTAACTCACTTACTTTTCTTCAAAATGTTATAATATTCGCAACGAAAAGCAGGAGACAGCGTAACGTAGCCGTTTACAACAGGAGAGTCACAGCTCCAGAATTACAGCTTCATCACACGGTGCTCGGTGGGCCGGGCAGGTCCCCTAACCTCTCTCTCACCTGCGATTATCTTATTTCTGGGCCAACAGTACTAATTCCTAGCTCATGATATTTTGGGAGATTCAGTGAGTGAAATCATGGCCAAGCACCTGAGTCACAGCTGGCCAGAGAGAAAGCGCTCCCTATCATTGCTGTCAAAGTGTTTTGGAAACAAAGTCAGGAATAAGCAGACAAACCTAAAATACTGGCCACAATGGAGACAAGGCCTGGTCCAGCACCAATCTCAAGTATCTTGGCATCTTGGAGATTCAGTTCCTCTGTATGTTCCTCCAAATACTGACACAAAGCCGTAGCCTAAAAAAACATTTGCAGGCGTCACCTGAGCATTGGAACATTGGAAAACAGTGGCGGCCCGACCTCCCTTCCCTACTCCAAGCGAAATACTACAAGAGATGTTATTAATAGTTGCAGTTTATCGAGGGGCTCCGAAGAATCAAAATATGCACTCAATGCCCTATTTGGACCTCTGGAGTATGAAAGGTATGACACGCATCAGAGGAACTGGAGACAGACTTGCTAAATCGCCTCTATCCTTTATCTGAAGACTCTGGGTCAGTGTCCGGGAAGAGGAAGGTCCCCTCGGCTCTTACAAGTCCAGGAAGGAGGCCTGAAACCAGCAACCTCTTGCTCTGGTTTGGTCCCGCCGGCGCCACCTGCTTCAAGAGCATTGCTGTACGTCTTCCCCACTTCCCTCCTGACTCCTTTCTCGAAGTTCGGGTGGGTTAGAACTTTGTCTGCTCCCCTGGACGACTGGGCAGTTTATTTTTTTAAGCGGTCATCTAAGAAACAGACTGTCAATACCGTGCTTCTAAGGGGCGCGCACTCTGGGGCGGTCGGGGGTGGGGGTCTCCAGACTGCGTTTCTGCAGGCCACCGGGCGAGGGCGGTGCTGCTGGTCCGTGGACCACACTTTGCGGAGCGGCGAGGAGATGCTAAAAAGCATGTGAATGAATTGAGATAACTTTGTAGACAGAAGCTCAAACGTTCCTTTCCTTCTCCCTTCATTCTCTTCTGCCTCCACCTTCTCCTGACCTTTCTACGGAGAGATCAAGGGTATTGGATTTGCACTGACTGATGAGGCGTTCGCCTTTATGCCAGTGGGGTCTCAGCAGCGCCGCGGATGTGAGAGATCGGGAGGGTTCGGCATGAGGACGTGAATTCTGAGATGACAAAGCAAACCGAACTCTAGTCTGTGTGCACTCTCACCTCTTCTCTTCCTGTGGCTGCTCAGAACTTGATGGGACGCCACGTTTTGGGGGGAGGGACTGGGGCGGCAGGAACCCCAGCCCACGGGCTGCTGTCGCCCCCCCCCCGCCCCACCCCGACCTGTGTTCATAGTGAAGAGGCCACACGCCCAGACGAACGTGCGGTCACGGCTCCTCTCCAGGGGACGCAGGCTGGGCTGGGAAGGGGCCTGTGCGCCGACTCAGACGGGCGAGCGGCGTCAAGGAGGCACACGCTGGGGGCGCGGGGGGTGCCCCAGGCGCTGAAGGATGGGGAGTGTCCAGCCCCCCGAGTGTCCAGCGGAGGGCGGCGGGTGAAACAGCCACGCACGGCGCATTGCCAAGAGCTCTGGCGCTGGGGAGGGAGCTTCTGGATGAAGAGGAAGGACAGTGACTTGTGATGGCAGGGGTTTCCCTGTGAGGAAGAGTGTCACCTAGAGCCACCAAAGAGACGTGCTTTGAGGGGTTTTCCAAGCGTCCCTCAGTGCCCTGGCGGGTGAGCAGCCTGGAGACCAAGCTTTTCTCAGGAAGCACGGCACTGCGCCACCCCCAGCTTCCCAGCCCCGTTAGCAAACGCGCAAGAGTGAGCTCCTTCACCGACAGCGGCCCTTGGAGTCCCACGAGGAAGCGTGTTTTCGCACGTCATGTAAACCCTTCCTTGGCAGCTTTCGGGAAATGGGGGTGCCAGGAGAAGCCAGGGTTTGGTGCGCGGAAGGTTGAGGCCTTGGAATAAAATGGTCCTGCGGACAAATATTCTTCCATTCCTGATCTCCTGGTAGCCCTGCTTATGGTTGTCCATTTGCCAAATTTATTACAATAGGAAGCTGGGGAGCAGGTTGGTGGTTTTCAAACTTGTTATTAAGCCAGAGAAGAGGATTTCCCTATGAAGGAAGTCATACTTAACATGCATGGGGGGAAACACTGAGCTTCCTTAGCTAGGGGATGGGGGTGGGCAGCTCTAGGAGCCTGGAGCCCTTTGTTTGCCCCTCCCCTTGTCCAGCCTCCTTGTCCCCCGTCACCTGCCACTGGTACCCAGGCCCCCGCCCCAGGGAGCTCCATGGCACCTCCACCCCTGATGCTCAGCTGCAGTCCCTGGAGCAGGCGCCTGCCCCACCCCCACCCCCCCAGGAGTGGCGGCACCTCTGAGTCCCAGGTCTGCATTGGAAGACAAACCCCAGGCCATTCCCCGCCAGCGACAGAGCAGCTTGGAGCCCAGGCCTCTCAAAGAACAACCCAGCGGGCATCGGAGCGCCAATGTCCCAAAGCCGGTGGCACAGCTCTCCTAAATGAGTCGACTTTTTGAGCCCCCACCTCCCCAACTGGCAGATGCAAACAGTGGCGCGTTGGTAATCCCAGGTGGCAGGCGTGACACGCAGCTTCCACAAGTGCTCACACGGCCCAACCTCCCCAGTGCGGGGGGGGGAGGGGGGGAAGGTCGGGGAGGCGAAGCAAACAGCCAGGAACTAGCAGATTGGCTCGCAATTCAGAGCGTCTCCCTCATTCCCATGCCCCCCTCGCATGGGGGGCTGCAGGGAGGAGAGGGGGGCAGCTTCCTACCCGCTTCTGCGGGAACACCCACGGCGTGGAAGGGAAGCGAGCACCCGGCTCCGATTGTTTTTTTCCTCAAAATTCATATGATTTTTTCATCTTACTTCCTGATATATTCAAGCTGATCTGATGCAAAAAATAATGTTTCAGGAAACATGGCACAGAGGGAAATGATGCTTCTGGGAGAGATGCTGGGCTTTTGCGGAGCCAAGCGCACCCCCGGCCCCCGGGCCAACACGTGGTCCTCCCCTGCAGAAGCACAGAAGGTGAAAGCACTCGGCGACCTGTCCACGGTGGAACTGTCGCCCCCAGGAGCCCCGACATCCCGAGGGTAACGGCTGTCTCACCCCGGGCCACACCACCGCTCCATAGCTCTCTATGGATTCTTGGATGACGATCTTTGTGCCGGCAAACAGGTAATGCTCCTGCGTGTAGCTGGCGTAATCTGTAGGGACAAATCTCTGGAGGCTATGCAGAGATGGTTCTATCTTGTTAGAATCTGTGGGGGCAGAAAAAAAAAAAAAGAATCTGTGGGGGCACAAAATAAAATAGGTTCCATGAGTTGTTGCTGCAGAACAAGCACACACTAGGCCACTGGTAAAATGGGAGCGGACCGGGCGGTTTTCCCCCAGAGAGGGGCTGACGCCAGCAGTGACCGTCGCGAGCTAGCACAACACGGAGTGACACCGGGCGATAGGGACGCGAAGTTCAGACGCGGTGTTTGCGTGAGATGCCCAAGCGCCAGGCGATGCCCTGGGTCCGTTCCACGACGTAGCCGAGGACAGCTCTATCCCCACGCCTCTGTTCTGATGGCAGGAGAAAGCCAGCTTACCAGCAGAACGGCAAGATGAGGACCTAGGCACACACAGACCTGACTATTTTTAGGACTTGAAGCGAAGTAACATTCCCGCATGTTGGCTGGAGCATGTTCCTTAAATCCTTCCTACAACTGCTCCTCAAAAGGTACCGGTCACCCAAAGACGAGCTAAGCTCCACAGCCCGGGGGAGGCGGCCAGATGAGCTCAGCCTATTAAGTTACAACGGCTTTAAATACCCTTTAAACTCATGAGCAGCTCTCATATATCATATAAAATGAGCAGAAAAGAGCACCTGATCGGGGCTGACATCATAGAACCACAGATTGTGCCGATTTTGCTGAGTCTTCCAGGGTAACACGAGCAGCGTGGGAAAATGTCAGGGGTGGGGACGCCGAGCGCACTCGCACTAGGGGTCGCCCGCAGAAGAGAAGCGGCCGGTACCGGCGGTGAGAAGGAATCAGCGGCGAGGAGCTGGAGGGGAGCCGGCGTGAAACCTGCCTCTGCTCCCTGAGATCCGCCTGGGACCTTCTTAACCGCAGGTGGAATGTGGGCTTCGGAAAATAGCTGCAAGGAGTGGTCCGTTGACCTTGGAGGTGCTCTAATCAGGAACGTCCCCTCGAGGCGTTAGAGGAGGCGGGGGCGGGGCGCGAATCCAGAGTGAAGGGTGGAGGGTGTTTGGAGAAACCTACTCGGGAGCGCGCCCCTCAGAGGCAGGCGACGCCGGGGGTCACCGACGAGCACCCGCACCAGAGCCGTCCCGTACTGCTAGTCTGCAAACCCGAACGGGTTCACAGAAGAGCTCAGACATTCGGAGTCAGCTCTTAGAAATGTTTCCAGCAATGTGACCACGTCCACTTATCAAAACACAGGGCTTGTGTTTTATCTTCGCATGTATTTTCATTGTGTTTTTCTAGAAATGAATTTTTGTTCTATTTTACCCAAAAAGTGTCCGTGTGCAGCAGATTGAGAAATGGTCTTTGAGCACAGTGACTGGGTTGTCAAGGAGCATGAGGGATGTCCACAGCTCTCCAGGGTGCTACTCTTGCCCCCTCCCCACCCCCTCCCTCCCCCGCCCCCGGGTCTGACGTAGCCTGAGTTCCACCCCCGGGGGGAGAATTCTGTGCCCTGACCTGCAAGGTGAGCTTCCAGAGACCTGGGACTTCACTGAGCTTGCAGGAACCTGCTAATAAATAGTGACCAAGGCGAGAAACATCGTCCTGGTAGGGGCTGTGGGGAGGCAGGAGGGGCGGGAGGGAGACATGGCCTGCACCCACCACTTAGGGGAAGCTCCTAACATCCAACACCACCAGCTCATTTTCTGTGAATGACCAAAGAGGCCCTAGCCTCTCCCCTCGAGCTGAGAGGCTGATGGAACTGTTGGAGAGATGATAAAAAAGCAGAGGACTAGACCGTGGTGTGCCGGGACATGTTCAACCATCAGCTTGGGGCGAGGGGAGGAAGCACTGATCTGTAGGGTTTGATGGTCACCACGGTGGGAACGCTCCCACACTCCCCGCAGACGTCCCCGGGAAAGGACGTGCGCTGCCCACTGAGACGGGTGCTTTCCACCAGGCAGGGCAACAGACACCAGGAAGCTGAAGAGCATAGGTACTCATAAAGATAATCTCAAAATGTAGTAAAGTAAGTCATGATGCGTTGTGAGTATTCATTACCTTGGTTTTTTAATATATCTTTGGCTTTTATATCATCTATTTAGTGGTAAGTTTTCATAACTTGTATTTCAGTAATGGCCATGTTTAACAATAACCCTCAAAAAAATCCCTGAAATTCAGGGGCTGGTACATGCCGGTTGGGGCAAGGAGTCAATACAGGGCTGCCCCCTTTTCCTCTGAGGTTTCGTCCCTGGGGTAGGTGACTGGGGGCAGCCAGACCAGCCAGGACCCATGCCAGCCCCTGCAGACTTCCCTCCCCACTGTGGCTCAGGCAGGTCCTTCTTCCCTTCCTCCCATGTCTCACCAGCTGGGGACCTATTTTTCTCTCAAGACGGTAGAAAAAGTCAATGGGCTGAATTGGAACAGCTCATCATTTCACAGGCGAACGAGCTGATAGATATGTTTTCCCAACCAACATTGTAAAGAAACGCGGGCACATAAATATTCTCCCATAAGACCCTTCTATGTTCGACAAAGATAAAGAAATGTATGCTTATTGCACACTAAATGTTTTCATTTATTGTATCGATGCTAGTCTGAGAGTTTAGAGAGATCAGATTTTAGAGGCAGAATTGCCTTTTTACGTAAACTAGTTTAGTAAAAATAAATAGCATCCCGTCTTAGTTGAGTTGGAACGTAATTTTACCATGTTAAATGATTATAAATGTTTGAAATGCCATACCTCGGCTTTTCTGACATTACCTGTTAGGTCTATTATTTATTACTACCGAGTCCCTGTCCAGAAATGCAACCCATGTGTGACCCAGCTGCGCCAGGAGAACATGTTGGCGAAAAGCAGACACGAATCAAGATTTTGTTTCTTTTTAAAAAGTTCTTGTGATAAAAATATGACCATTTGAGATTTATACACAGCACAAGACAAATTTAGATAAGTAAATAATGAAAAAATAGAGGTTACTTTTAATGCTATGCTCACGCTTGCCTAAAGGCACTTTCCTACTAAGCTTCACTAATAGGAACAATCTAGAATTAGAAGGGGATGGGAATTCTTGTCACTGAAGTTAAGTGGGAAATGCCGTGGCCAGGAAAGCAACTGACATGGTGTGGCGGTGAGGAAGGAGGTTACCTCCTGGGGGTCCGCCGGTGCCATCCTCCTGGAGAGATCCCGCCGCCGCCGCCGGCTCTAAGCAGCCATCTGGGGTGCACGGTACTTCCCGCAGCTCGGAGCTCAGACACACGTCCATAACCGCAGCCACTGGAGAGCAGAGAACCAGACAGACCCCACGAGCTCAGCCCAGGCTGGCTGAGCCTCCTGGAGGCTCTAAAAGGTGCAGCTTATCGCCTTAGCATCTGCTGAGCCGAAAAGAACCCCTGCTTTTCAGCTTCGTTTCCCCCAGTGAGCAAAGCAGCTACCCAAGGAGCTGCCCTCCTAGGTTTGCAAAGCAAAGGAGAAGGGGGGACCATTAACCATCACCGCACCTGTTCTCTGCATCAAGAAATGCAAAAACAGAGCAAGTTTCGCCGGAGGACAGGCACAATGTGGCTGGGGTCTAAAATGTCTTTCTAATAGCTTTTGGAAATGAACCTTAATGAAGAAACTCTGAGCCAGCAGCACATCCTACCATCGGGGGCACCATGTGGATGGAGGGGTTAATGATATCGTGGATGAGAAGGCAGCATTTGGACCAAACACAGGGCTGCTCCCTTCTCTTCTGAGACTTTATTGCAAGATCATAGAAAGTGCTGGGGACTGAGCCAGGAGCCTGACCGGGCACCTGGCAACTCACATAATCCCCTCCCGCGCCACTTCCTCATCAGCATAAAGGGGATAATATAGTATCTGCCGACTTCCCAGGGCCACAGTGGGAAACAGGAGGGTGAAAGTGACAAGTACAGAGAAGAAAACCACCTGATTTAGAAAAGGAGACCTGGCTGTGGGGATCACTGGTCGGCATCAAAATAGTAACACAGGACATCGCCGCAGGGCGGGTACCGTGGCCAAACCCTGTTCTGCTGCTTTAAGTCTATCGATTCATCTAGTCCTAGCAATTGCTCCTATGAAGTAGATGCTATTATTATGCCTCTTCTCAGATGCGAGCAATCCAGGCGCAGAGAGCTCGAAAAGCAGCCCAAGAGGAGAGGCGGAGTCAAGCCCAGGAGGTCCAGCTGCAGAATCTACGCTCTTAACCGCCCGGCAGGTACCCCTTGGGTGGGCTTGTTCAGCCTTGGGTTCCGTTGCCTACTTTGCCCTGAAATTACCACAGTGATGTTTCCTAGTCTTTTATTTGTTTATTTATTTATTTTACAAAAAGCTGTTTACCACCCTGAGTTAGTCTCCACACCCGAGTTGCCCAATCCCATCGTTCCAGCCAGCTGGGGATAGCAACCGGACTCGCCAGCCATACACCATCACTGCCTAGCTGACCAAGAGCCATTCGGGCACTGGCTTACTCCAGGGAGCAAACAGACAAAATGCAAGAAAGCACATCCCCTGAAGCAAATGTCATTCCACTGCACACCTGGGCAGGTCGCTTGTCCCTCACGTTAATGCGCACCAGGATTGCAAACAAATGAGATCGCTGTGAAAGCAATTTAACATTTTCATTGGCTCTAGAATCGAATAACCAAATATTTGTCCCACTTCTCCAACTCACCAAACCAGCCCGAGTGCCCTGGGGGTCTGTGCTTCACGCCGAAGTTCTTTCTCTTGCAGATACTTCCTCCTGCATTCCTTTCAAGTTTCCCCAACTCCAGGAAGTTAATTATTCCCCTAAACTGAGGGCAGCCTGGTTGCTGATGAGTACACACTGCGTCTTCAGGGAGGAAGCCTCCACTGAATCTTAGCTCCGCCATGCACATTCCTTATCGAAGATGCAGATAATGGGGATACGACCTCCTATGGTGGTTGTGGGAATTAGGAGAGGTAAGCCATGCAAAGCATCGCACGTACAACAACAGCAACCGCTCTGTGCGAAGCGAGGAGGGCGGTCACTCAAGCCACACTCCATCCAGCACCAGGGGACCCTGGGCATTACATTTAAGACGTTTCCTCATTTTGCCTGCAAGCAAAGGAGAATTGTTTTCCAATACCAGGTGTGCTTTTCCTTATGAAAGGAAACGACCCCCTCGCCCATCATCATAGTTGACATGAGAAATTAACTTTTTCCCTGACATGTGTGCACTGGAAGGCAATCTAGAAAACAATGACGGTGCTCTCTACCTGATGCTGTTAGTCTAACATCACATATGCCATATGGCACGTGTTAGTATTCGATAAAGATTCCGGAAGTTTTTCAAACGACGTCTTGTTAGTCCCCTCAAAATCATTTCAAACTGTTAGCTTAAACATTACCTTACGTAGCAGAAGAGAGGTGAGATTTCCGTGCACCCTTGACTCCCCAATGTTTTATATAGATCTGCACCTGAAAGGATTAGCATTTTATGAACAAAAGCCAGCCAGTGCAAGCCCAAGTTATTTAGGGTAGCATGACCCACCAGGACTCGACACATTACTTTGCTAGAATATCCATTCTCTCTCCCTCTCTCAATTCTCAGTGTTCTCTCTCTCTCTTTCCTACATACCCACATGCAATCCTTGCAATGTGAAATGGAATCACCCTCAAAAGATCCAGAAAATGCCTCCAGCAAGACAGAGGCTCTCCTCTATGGTATCCGGTTGCTGTGATGGAGTTTGAAATGTAGACATATTTCACTTTAAAAAGAAGTGGGGGTTGGGCTGGTCAGGGTTTTGTACAGACGTGCAGACTTTCTCTGTGCTCATCAGCCAAACTGCTGTGGCTGAAGGGAGGAGTCGTGCCTGCTGTGAACCGTCCTGGACCCTGCTCCGAGCAGCCGGAAATAACACAGGACTCTACCAAGAGAAGACAGGAGAACATCTAACTAGAAGGGACGTGAGTTAAAGGCTTAAGGTTGCATGAGGAGTATTTAGCTGGGGCAACAATGAACAGGAAACCAGGAAAAACTCTTCCAAGAAAAAAGCAAGCCATTGCAATTTCCTTCATTGAAAAAAAAAAAGGCAGTTAAAAAAGAAGGAGGAAAATCATGTGTTCATTTGGGAAGCCTGGGAACCCTTAAAATAGAATATAGGGCATGTAAATTAAAACCTTGGCAATGGGACTTAAACAATCACTCGCGTTTATGAGGGGCTGAGCGAATAGTGATTGAGCTTGAGTGCATACAAGAGCCTATTTTAATTTTTTCACCCCACCTTGGTACTCTCTTCGCTGCTGTCACTTTTTTTTTCTTTATGTGCATTTCTTTTAAGTTAGGATCTTCATCTGGATGTGCTGTGGTCCCATGACCATTAGGTTTGCTTTCCCATTCCCTTAAATTAGGGGAGGTGACCTGGAGCCTTGCTCAAACGTGTCATTCGAATGCTGCCTACTTCCCAAGTGGTCCAGGTCTCTGATGGTGTCAGTTGGGTAACTGGTTTCCACCAGGGGTCTGCACTGCTATGTAAGCATCCCTAGATATAAGCAGTAGCAAAAAGATGGTCATCATTACAATTGTATAAATAACTTTTAAAAACTGATTGCAATGTATATGAATGTGTCCCTAAATACTGGCTACATCAGAATTACCTGGAAGCTTTAAAACACATAGACTCCAGGCCCCTGGAAATTCCAGACGTTTGAGTTCCAAGTCCAACAGCCGTCTCTGTGTGTTTTCAGCACCTGGCGCCCGGCCAGTGCCAATCTATAGGGGAGGGGACTCATGACTGACTCTCACATAGTTGAAATGTCAGCCCCTGACGAGGGATTAGGCTTGGGGCATGGCTTGGGAGGACACACGGATGAAGTAAGTGCCTGGGAAGCACATTTAGTCTCAATAGGAAAGAACTTTCTAACAAGCAGAACAATGGAACAATTGATCTCAGGGAGCCAGCATAATGGAAAGTGGGCCAGACTTGGAGTCAGAACACACGAGATTGGACCAGAGGTTTATACAGGGTCAATAAACAGGCCGTGAGTGTGCGGTCTCTCTGCCTTTCTTCAACGGTGTAGACCTCTGATCTCTCACAGCGTTTTTCCAACTGAACCTAACTTTCTCAGCCAGTGGTCCTCACCATGGAGGAATCCGCCCCTCCTCCCAGGGACCCTTGGCAATTTGGAGATTTTGTAGTTCGTCACAGCTAGGGCGGGGAGCTATTGGTATCTAGTGCATAGAGGCCGGGGAGGGGGGGTGGGTTGACAAATGGTCTGCTTTACACAGGATAACCCTTCACAGGAAAGAGCGATCCTGCCCAAAATGTCTCTAGGGCTAAGCCTGAGAAACCCTTGTCTTGTGGGGGGGATCGGAGTTGCAGGGTGAATTCTCAGGACACTTTTTTTTTTTTTTAAGTAAACTCTGCCTACAACATGGGGCTCAAACTTATGACCCCCAGATCAAGAGTCTCATACTCTACTGCCTGAGCCAGCCGGGGGCCACAGGGTCAATTCTAATTTCCATCCTACAGACACGGTCTGCTAGCTGGGTGATCCCTGCCTCCTCAGCCTCAGTATCCTTGCCTATAAAATGGGGTGGGTTAGCATTTGCAGACTGTCCAATAGAGAGATCCAACATCACACCCTCTGGCTCCATCAGATTTCTCCTGGGAGCAGACCTGGAGACGAGGATTTGAGAGAAAGGATTTGGGGGTGCGGGGGGGAATCATCCAGGGAAGGGGTGTTCTGCACAGCCAGCTGCCGCAGGGGGCAAGAAAACTTGCACCCCTGGGGCAAGGCTGGGAGATGAGGCAAAATACACAGCTCAAGGGCGCCTGGGTGGCTCAGTTGGTTGAGCAACTGCCTTCGGCTCAGGTCATGATCCTGGAGTCCCTGGATCGAGTCCCGCATCGGGCTCCCTG